CAATCATGCGACATAACATTGAGTTCTCAATATTATGGTGGGAGTACTATTTTTATTTTCTAAAATTAAAAGAAAAATAGTAACATGTCATAAATGTGGTGGGACAAGGAGTTTTTGAGAGTGAAATAGAATGTTGGCATATGGCAAAAACATCTTCCAATTAGATAAGAACTCCGTTGATCACCCATATAAATATTTGCACCAATATTTAGTAATCAGTACATACAACCCCCCCAATATATATACATATATATATATGTATAATCACATTTTAGAGATACCCAAATCCCAAATATATATGCAGAAAGCTGAATTCCACTGTTTGCAAGATCCATAACTACATAAATTGATAGCATATAGAGAAAAGCAATATAATATTATATATATATATTTATATGCTGGTGGCTTGTGGTGATGATCTGTTTGGCACATTCTTCTTCGTATATCTTTTCAAACAAGAATCTATCTCTCTCTCTCTCTTTCCATATCCTGTGGTGTATAAACCATCGTACCATTCCACCGTGAAGCTTCTGCAACATTAGAAGGTTTATTCAGCTTTTCAATTTTCCCAACAACACACTGCAAAAACTTACTGTATAATTACCCATAATATATATAGACACATATATGTGAAAAAACTGTAAAAGTCAACATCTTGGTGGTGTATTAATATATATATATATATATATTGTTTATAGCAAGCCACAGAGAAGCTTCTTCAATGGAGTTAGGAAGAGGCGTTAGCAATGGAAACCATGGGGACGGCGACATTATCAGGTGGTTCGAGGAGGTGACGGAGAACGCCGGCGAGGTTCAACGGGAAACACTTGGCCGGATTCTCAAAGAGAATTACGGAGTTGAGTATCTGAAGAAATGGATTGGAGAAGAAGAAGAAGAAGAGATGGTGAAGAGAATACAAGAGATGGATATAAATGCATTGGAATCTCTTTATACATCTTTGGTTCCTCTTGCCTCCCATGGCGATTTAGAGCCATTTATTCAAAGAATTGCAGATGGGGACACCTCTCCTCTCCTCACTTCACAACCCATACAAAATCTCTCCCTCAGGTACATACATACATATATATATATATAACTACATCTATATCTAAATCTATGTCTACAAACTTATGTATGTATTTATGTATGTAGATATATCCATGTTTTTGTTTATGACATTATAAATTAACTTCATTTGCTTGATCAAGTGTTTTTTGTTGAGAATACATATAAATACACTTCTATACATACATAATACATATATATATGTATGTATACATATCTAGACATGTCATTTTGATTTGAAAGAAAATACCCAGAAGCTGCTATTTTGTTGCAAAGCTCAAAACCACTCTTATCTTATTACATGTATATTTCTTTATTGTTTTCTTCTTCTTTATATATATACATACATATATATATATATAGCTCCGGCACCACTGAGGGAAGACAGAAGTACGTACCGTTTACTCGGCATAGTTCACAAACTACTCTTCAGGTTTTCAAGTTAGCAGCTGCCTATAGATCAAGGTAACAAAATCTTAACCTAATCTCTCTTTTCTTCTACACCAAACATTTTCACCTTTATATATATATATATATATATATATATATATATATGTTTATGTTTATATATGTAATTTCCAAGATTTGCAATCTTGTGTTAGACCCATTTGAGATCCATTAATTAGTTAGTCTTTTCAGTCATCCATTCACTATATACACACACGCACACATACATGTATATATACAAATTTGCTCTGTTTTCCTAGCGTATATATGTGTGTGTGTGTATATATATAAGTTGTTTGTATATGATATTTATAGGGCATATCCAATAAGGGAAGGAGGAAGGATTCTGGAGTTCATATACAGCAGCAAACAATTCAAAACAAAAGGAGGATTAACCTCTGGAACAGCCACAACTCATTACTACTCGAGCGAAGAATTCAAGATCAAACAAGAACAAACCAAAGCCTTCACTTGCAGTCCAGAAGCCGTCATCTCCGGCGGAGATTACAAGCAATCCACCTACTGCCACCTCTTGCTCGGCCTCTACTTTTCCCATCAAGTCGAGTTCATAACCTCCACTTTCGCCTACAGCATCGTCCAAGCCTTCTCCACTTTCGAAGATCTATGGAGAGAAATTTGCAGTGATTTGAAAACCGGAAGTCTCAGCTCAAGAATCACCATTCTTAAAATGAGAAAAGCTGTTTTAGAGATTATCAAGCCAAACCCACGTTTAGCTATGGAGATTGAAGAGAAGTTGGAGATGGGAAATGGTGATTGGTTTGGTTTGATTCCAAAACTTTGGCCAAACGTTAAGTACGTTTACTCAATCATGACAGGATCAATGCAACCCTACGCGAAAAAGTTAAGGTATTATGCAGGGAAGATACCTTTGGTTGGTGCTGATTATGGGTCAACAGAGAGTTGGATTGGAGTCAACGTTGATCCTTGTTTGCCTCCCGAGAAAGTTACTTTTGCCGTCATACCAACTTTTTCTTATTTTGAGTTCATACCACTTTATAGGCCGGAAAAGGAAGACTATTTTAATGACAGTTCGCCGGCAGCCATTGATGACTTTGTAGAAGGTGAACCTGTTCCACTCTCGCAAGTCAAAGTTGGTCAACAGTATGAAATTGTCCTCACAACTTTTACTGGTAATTAATTACTACTACAGATTCTTTTTCTTTAATTCCTTTTTTTGAGTCTATATATATTTTTCTTACATATATATATATATAACTCATAATTATGCAACTCAACCCATAATTAATTCATGACGTCCGTACATAGCTGTCATGATATAAAGGGTCTGATTAGAACTATATATATATATATATATATATATATATATATATAACATCATAGCTTTTTCCCTCAAGAATTAATTCACTTGACTTTGTTTTGTATCTTCTCGGAATCTAACCTATATATCCTGTACATATATCTGCGCGCACACACACACATATGTATTATAGATATATCGAATTAATGAAGTAAAAAAAATGGAGGAAAAATTAATTCTGACATAATTGAGCATTTCTAGATGCAAATATTTGATAACATATCAGACATGTTTTTTTTTTTTTTTTTCAATATTTTGGGCCCGTTAATTATTAACATATATATAATCATGGCGTATAGATATAACCTTTTCTGAGAACAGTGGGTTAAATTTTGTAGGTGCACCCATTATTGTTTTGTCCTAGGATGAGCCAAGAATCAATTTGACAGCTCAAGATGTTGACTGTCAACTATTTGAATGCTAATAATCATATATATATATATATATATATATTTATATTCATACAGAATTCAACTTAGTGAATTTGGAGTGTGTTGATATGTAAATATTGATTTACTGGGTTTGTTAACATATATATTTTCAGGGCTATATAGATATAAATTGGGAGATGTAGTGGAAGTGGCTGGATTCCACAACAAGACACCAAAATTGAACTACATATGCAGGAGAAAGCTAATATTAACCGTGAACATTGACAAGAACACAGAGAAAGATCTTCAACTAGTGGTGGAAAGAGGGTGTCAGCTATTATCGAGCCAGACCCGAGCCGAGCTCGTAGATTTCACGAGCCATGCCGACGTGGTGAACCAACCGGGACATTACATAATCTATTGGGAGATCAAAGGAGAAGTGGAAGAAAGGGTTTTAGGTGAATGTTGTTGTGAAATGGATGCTTCTTTTGTGGATCATGGCTATGTGGTTTCAAGAAGAAGCAACTCAATTGGCCCTCTTGAACTTTGCATTGTGGAAACAGGAACTTTTAAGAAGATTTTGGATTATTTTATAGGGAATGGAGCAGCTCTGAGCCAGTTCAAGACTCCTAGATGTACAACCAATAAGGTTCTACTTACAATTCTTAATCTTTGCACCATTAAAAGATTCCGAAGCACTGCCTACGGCTGATTATGACCTGGGAATCGCGAATAACTCTACCATGTTTTACAGACTTATATTATTAGAGGTAGGAGTACGGGTCTATTTTTGAATAGTCATTTTCTTTTTTTTTGTAATATAAGTATTATATTAGTTAAAGAACAAGTAGTTATTTATGAGATGTTATAATTCTTAATAAAAATTATATAATACTTTAGATATATATATGTTATATCGTGATAAATATATAATCCGAATTTAAATTTTTTTTTTAATTTTATAATAAAAACACTGTCATTTGAATTATAA